ATCCAGCTCCCCCTGAAGCAAAAGTCTCACTGGGAAAAGAGATCCCGGGGCACACCTGACATTTCTCCTGGTAGAGCGGCTCTGGTTGTCAGTTAGTCCGGGCAAAGCCTTATCTAAGGCAGTCCCATCTGGGGTGCCAAAAACTGTTGAGCCCCAGCTCAAGTCTGGGATCGTGCCCGATATGCAAAGGCCAATAAAGATACCAGGGGTGAAAGTATAAAGAAGGTTTATTGCTAACAATAAAAGGTGCGAGCGGAATAATTTCATGTAACAAGCACACTAGATTACTATTTCTAAGCATCTTTTATACAGGAGTTTTTGAACCTTCATAAGCATCCTTGTTTGCTGATTGGTTATAAAGGAGTGACACAAGGAGTTCTTTACTGAGCATGTCTCTATACCTGTGTTTTAGCCATGTATCTCATTTACATACATGTATGTTTCATTAGCATACTTTTTCCCCACCTAGGGGCGTGATTTTTAGTATTTTAATGAGCTCTTTAACCCAGTACCCTGGCTTCTGCTTTTGTTTTCAAGCCCCCTTTATCTGGGACTGTCTCCTCCTTACCATCGCAGATGGGCATTCGTCTCATAACATTCTCTTTTGCTTCGTCTCTGAGTAGTGGTTTCTAGGTCACTCCTTACAAAAGGACTGGAGCAATTCTACCTTCAGGCCCTGGAAAGAGGTTCCCTGAAAGAGCCCCAGAATTCTGCAGCCAGGCTGGGCCAGCCACTGAGATCTGGTGTGGAAGGTTGGCCACTGGGGACAGTTGGGGAACTGAGGAAGGGACAAACCACTGCAGAGAGACTGCAGGGATCTTACTAAGGGGGCTGGAGTTGTGAATGTGGCAGGCTCCAGGAGCTGAGCCACCTGTACATGAAAGAAGTGAACAGAACCCAGAAGTGAGCCCTGGGTCTGCTTAAAGGGGAAGTACCCGTGTTTGGGAGTTGGTGAATGGGCATAGCTCTCTGCTCTTGTAGTGGCCTCTCATGTGGGGGTCCCTGAGGGGAGACCAGCCTCAGCTAGCGAGAGTGCAGCTGATGACAAGAGGAGAGGGGGACCCCACTAGAGAAGCTCTAACCCTGAATGTCAAATAGGACCATGGGAGTGAGCAACCAGGAAAGTATACCCACCAGCCCTCCTTGAGGGTAGAAAGGGATGTCATGGGGAGGAGGTAGTGTGTGTGTTACAGGAGGCCAAGCAAGGGCACCAGCCATCATCAGATGTAGAGCCCCGGGGCTATTGTGGGAGTTCCCATTGCACCCACACCTGATTGATTATGCTTGCTTGAACTAAGGGGACTTCAAGACAACAGTAGTCAACTGAAAGACTGTTATTCTGGGTGTCTATGACAGACCTACTGGGACTGTATCATTTTTTCAAAAGAGGGGTTGTCCCTATTTTGTTTATTTTCAGTTTTGGATGCACATAAGGTTTTGTTTCCTTTGGGTGCCTTACAGTATGGGGAATAGACCTACTGTCACTCTACCAGGGGTGTCATCACCTACCTATACAAGTATATAAGTTGTTACAAAGTTAAATGGATTTATGAGCACTGAGTTCATTAGTATTATTCCCTAAGTTAATTGCTATGAATTAAACCTTAGAATACATAGCGGAGTATTATACAAATATAAATATATGTATGTATATAAATATCTGAACATAAATTCATATGTATCTATTAAGGCTGTGCAAAATGGCACCGTTCCATTTTGCCTTGCATTTCAGTGGGTCAGTTGAACAGTGTTTCATCTTGAATTTCATTTTGAGTTGAAACAGCCGTTCCATTCCATTCCATCAAAACAGAAAGGCTGTTTTGATGCTGTTTTGAGTTTTGCTGGGGAGTGGAAGTCAGCCCAGCTGACTTCCACCCATCCCATCCCCCATGCTAGATCGTGCCAGGGGCAGGTGGCAGCCCAGCTGGGCTGCTTCCTGATCCCCTGTGCTAGATTGCACCAGGGGTGGAAGGCAGCCCAGCTCGATCTGGTGCAAGCTAGTGTGGGGATTGAAAAGCAGTCCAGCCGGGCTGCTTTCCACCCCTGGTGTTATCTAGCACAGAGGACCAGGAAGCAGCCCAGCTGGGCTGCCTTCCACACCCTACTGGATCTTGTGCTGGGGATGGGAAGTCAGCCCAGCTGGACTGACTTCCCATCCCCAGCCTACGGTCAAAACGTTTCACCTTTCAAAACATTTTAAGCAGCCTTGTTTTGTTCCGAGGCTATTTCAAGGACCTTTGTTTTGTTTTGATTTTGCTGTTTCAACCTCAAAATTGGCCAAAACAGTGTCAAAATGAAATGGTTGCCAAAATTTTGCACAGCCCTAGTATCTATACATATTGTAAATACCTACCTGTTCTGTCACAGTGGTGTTACAGGAGGTATCCCCCATATTGGGATCTTGAGGATCTTTGTTAGGCCAAAGGAACCAAAAGGATGGGTCTAGCTGGTGCCCCAGGCTAGGGACAGACATTGAAAAAGCCCAAGCCTGAATTGATTAACTCTTTGCAGGTTAGTCTAAGCTGTACAACTTAAACTGATGAATAACTGGACAGACATTTTCTGTTAAATCAGGAAATGCAGCCACATGCCTGTAGTGGCTCAAGCCTGAAGCTGGGGGATGCTAAAGCATGCCTGCCAACCACTGCCAAAGGGGAGGGAAGAGAGAGACTCTCCAAGGCTCTCAACCCTCTCTGGTGGAGCTGAGGGGGCACCAGCCGGGGCTGGCACAACACACAGGATGCCAGCCAGCAACAGGGGGGAGGGGGCAGCTGCTGCCAGACTGACGAGTGGAGTTGGAGAAAAAGTCTTTTTTCTGAAGCAAGCATGTATTAAACACAGCAATTTGCAAAGCATACAGCAGGGAACTAACAACACTCTTCACCTAAGCTAAGATACAGCCCAGTAAAACACAGCACACACAACTTAGTTTAACTTAAAATGTAAACCAGGAAGACAAGAATTAGCTTAACTAATCCTGAGGGCAGAGTGTCTCCTTACAGCTAGGCATTCATAAATGCTTTGTTTAGGTATTCCCACTTTTTACACATTTTGCTTTATAATGTAAATGTAGCTCTCTGCATTATTTGGTGAAGCTGTCTGCAACTCCCCTTAACTACATCTCCAGCATGTGTGATGATTGTCAGATCTTTGCCCACACTTTCCACCTCTCAGTCTCATCCAGCAGGTCTTGGCTCTGGGCTCACAGGTGCAGGGCTTGGATCTTCACACAGGGGACTAGCTTGCCTCTCTTTCCCTGCTTCAGGACACTCTGTGGAATTAATCCCCTCCCTGCCTGGCTGCAGGCAAGCTGCAAATACTGCAACCAAACCTACGGGGGTTCCAGGGGAGAGAGAGGACAGAGAGAAGAATTAACTCCATCCCTGCCTGGCTGCAGGCAAGTCATGGAGGTGTGGCTGGGTCTGGCAAACCCCAGCTGCAGTCCCCAGGGTTTGCCAGTGGAGCAGGGAAGGGATGGTGTCACAGGCCAGCCGGGCACTGTGAGTGTATCAATTTAGTTGCAGGCTGACTGAGTGCTGCAACTGTATCAGCCACTGGACTGTTTGGTTTGAGATTGAGGAGGTGAAGTTGGGAGTGAAGCAATGACAAGTTTCACTTATAACAGTAAAAATCAATTTTACTTATAACAGGAAAAAATATAGTTTGCACATATAACAGTTAATAAAAAGGTTAAGCTAATAAGCAGACAACATAACAATAAAAGTTAAAAATTGGCAGTGACAATAAAAACAGATGGACAAATTGACAAAGAGTTCCCACTTGGTTAGCAACTTATCGATAGTCCCTCAGTGTCAGGTACATGTCAAGTTGATTCAGCAAAGTCAGGCGTCCCCGATCCACACTGTCGGAGGAAATACCGGGGAAGCTCCCTCAGTCAGGATCTGGTCTTCACTCACACTGGGAGTAAGGGATCTGGGGGCATGAGACAACAACAACCATTCTGTTCCGTCCTTCCTGCTGGTCACTTAATGTGCGTGTTCTTTTATATCCTGTTCTATGCTAATCTGTTGGCTTTAGAGCCACTCACAATCTTACCCTATAGCTGTTACCCTATGGGGTTAAAAGGTGTTAGAAATTATTATAATAGGTTACTGCCCAAGCTTGGGTTTACCCAATAAGAAATCACACCACATCACTTTGGGGTCTGAGATTAGCATTATTCCTGCCCAAGTTCAACCTACTTACAATTTTTTTAAAGATATGTTAATTATACCTTGTGGTTAGGTTTATTAATCTTACTGACCTGAAGCAAAAAATTATTAAATCAGCTAAGTCTGCAGTTTATTCTTTTAGTTCTGCTTTTAAAACTTATGCCAGTTCATGATTGATACAAATAGTTATATGTAACATTACGGTTATACTCCAGATAGACAGGAAGCATTTGCAGGAAGCAGTTTCATAAGCTCTATTTTAGCCAATATTTATTATTGGCTAAAATCAGCCAATCTTATCAGATACTCTCAAAAACCAGATTTATTTTTTGCTATAAGTTGCTCATTAACCCTTTTGGTTCTGGCCATCATGGGAGGGAGAGTGGACATAGGGAGAAATTTGCCTCAGGGGCCATGGCAGGCCAGTGTCTGGCCACACCCTTCCCCTGTTCTGGCTAGAGAGTAGAGGGAAGGGGCCAGCCCAGCTCACCAGAGCAGAGAGCAGAGCTTCGTCCAGCCCAGAAAGCATGCCAGGATGCTGGGGGAGTCTGGTTTAACTTAAACCAACAAGGGGTCTGGGACAGACATTGCATAAACTGGTTTGATCCAAATCAGTTAAGTCTAATGTTACATTCAACCAGGTTCATCTCAAACCAGTTTCAGCCATTTTCAAACTGGATTATATGCACTGAACATCTGTTCTGTTACAGGTTTAAACAAGTTTCTGATCACTTAAACTGGTTTATGAGTAATGTCTGTCCCTAGCCTCAGGGTTCCACAAATTGCCACTGGCAGCAGTTATCACCCCACAGTGGGGTGTTATGTACCTTTTGCATATTGTATAAGTGAAGTGGTACCAAATGCTGATTTACTGAATTTTAATTTTAGTGGCATGCTACAAACATCCTAGCTATGATAGACATAAAAACATTGATGCTTCCATCGCAAAGCACAAAGCCTGAAAGGAGATGTTACAAGACCATATATTAAATAATTCAAATATACTACTTATAGCTTTATTTTAAAATATTAGTAGTAGTGATTTATGTAACCAAATGTATTAGATGCTATTTGCTACAATAGATATATTTATGTTAAAATGCTTGCATGTGTTATAAAAACAAAACATCCTTGCCAGAGAAGATATTTATTTTTTTTTAAATGTAAATTGAGTTAATGCAATGACATTTATGCTATACATACTGAAATCTTACAAGCTTTAGCACCTAGTCTGGCAATTCAACCAACTGTATACCCAAGGATGACCTATTATTGAAAGAGAATTACTATGTTATTACTGATAACATGACTAATTGTAAAGGCTAGGTTTAAGATCATAGGAAAGTAGGGCTGGAAAGCACCTCATGAGCTCACCTACTCCAGATGTTACTCAGGGCAGGATCATCCCTGACTACCATCCCAGTCAAGTGTGTATCTAACCTGCCCTTAAACATTTCCAGCAATGGAGATTCCACAACTACTCTAGGTAGCCTGTTCCAATACTTAACCAACAACTTAGTTGGAAAATTCTTCGTAATCTCCAAGCTAAATTATCTCTTTTACAATTTGAGATGATTGCTTCTGGTCCTGTCCACTACAACCACAGAGATAAGTCCAGCTCCATGCCCCCTGGAATCTCATGTAGGTATTTGAAGACTGTTATCAAATATCCCTTCAGTCTTCTCTTCTCCAGCTCTAATCCTAGTTCTTTCAGCCTTTCCTCATAAGTCATGCCTCCCAGGCCCCTAATCATTTTTACTGTTCTGTGCTAGACTTTCTAAACTGTCCACATCCTTTTTGAAGAGTGGGGCTCAAAACTGGACACAGTACTCCAGGTGTGGCTTCACCATTGGCAAGTAGAGTAAGAGAATCACTTTTCTTGTTTTGCAAGAGATGCTTCTGTTCACACAGAACAAGAGCAACATTGTTGCTATATTCAATTTAAAGGCCACTGTAACCCCCAGGTCTTTGTAAGCAGTACTGAAGCCTAGCCAATCATTCCCAAGTCTGTATTTGTACATGAAATTATTCCATCTAAAGTGCAGGACTTTACACTTATCCTTGTTGAATTTCATCTTGTTTAGAACCACCTCTTCAGTTTATCCAGATCCTAGCCCTGCCCTCTAGAGCATGTGAACTCTACCCAGCATAGTATCATCTGCAAATTTGCTAAGCATGCACTCAATCCCTTTGTCCATGCCAGGGAGATGGGGTGGCAACCCTTTCAGCAGGTGTACCACAAATTAGGTCTGCACCCTCCCCCAAGTGCCACTCCAATTCCCTTTCTTCTGCCTAGTCAACCACTCTGTTTCCTGCTCCATGCTCTCTGCCAGATCTGTTGTTCTGCTTTCTGTTCCCTAATGTATCTGCTGCTGTGATTCCTGTCCCCTCCCCAAGCTGCCATGTGACACAGACAAAGGCTGCCCATACCTCTTCTGGTCCTTGTGCTGCAGGTTGATCACTCCTTATCCAAACCTTTGGAAGACATTAAAGAGTATCATACCTAGAATAGACCCTTGGGGAATTTCACTTGATATTCCTCCCAACTAGACATCAAGTCGTTGATAACTACTTATTGAGCCCAATCGAACCAGTTATGTATGCATGTTACAGTTTTTTCATCTAGTCTATATTTCCTTATCTTATTAAGGAGAATGTTGAGGGAGACTGTGTCAAAAGCCTTGTTAACATCAAGGTATGTCACATACACTGCTGTCCCTCCACCCTGCCTCCAAGAGGTATGACTTGCTTATGGTGAACTGATGCTGGCTGTTCCTGATCACCTTGTTCTCCTCTAGATGTTTCAGAATAAATGCCTTGAGGTCTTTCTGCATGTTCTTCCCAAGTATCAAGGTCAGGTTGACTGGTGTGTAATTTCTTTTACCCCCTTCTTCCTTGTCTTAAAAATGGACACTATGTTTGTCCTTTTCCAATTATCTGGGACCTCACCTGACTTCCACAAGTCCTCAAAGAGCATCAACAATGGCTCTGAAATAACCTCATCCAATTCTTTCAGTACCCTAGGTAGCACCCCATGCAGCCCTGCTGACTTGAAGCATCTAGCTTCTCTAAGTAATCCCTAATTTATGTCATCACTCTAGGCAGTTTGATCCCATCCCCATAATTGCTGCCAACTCTGCTTTTCATCCGGTAGCTGCCCCTAGTTGTGATGACTGAAGCTAAAAAAGCATTACTAGTTCATTCTTCTCTGTATCACCTG